GCAGAGGGGCAGAGGGGCAGAGGGGCAGAGGGGCAGAGGGGCAGAGGCAGGCTAAGATGCTCAGCACTCTGGAGCAGCTCCTTGCTGTGTCCTTGGGGTCTCTAGGACTCTGACCTCCTGTTTTATTGTTCCACAGCCTCTTGGGTGTCCACTTAACTCCCACACCCTCCGTCACTATGCACAGTTCACACTTCTTTGCTCAGCTGCACTGAAGTCCTCCGTTCCTGTCAACTGAAGGAATACTCAGGCTGCACTCATCAGACTCCCACGCACACCTATCTGTCTTTCCTTTTATGCCCAGCATGCCGGCATTGCTATGAATTCCACCACTCAATGCAAGGAGATTAGTACAAAACATGTCTTTCCTCCCTTCCTTTCCTTCTTCCTTTCTCAATTATCAACTCCATGAGTACACAAGCTGAGCACTGCCCTGAATGAGCTTAATGTGATGGTAAATATGATACAACACCTGCCCATGTTTCAGCTTGCAGTTTTCTAGGAAATACAAGCAGGCTGTTATATAAATTATACTGTAAATTATCATGTGCTGTTTAATCCCACTAAAAGTAGACAGTTGGATGGAGCGTGGTGGTGAGAGGTAGAGGCAGGTAGATGTCTGTGAAACTGAAGCCAACCTTGTCTATACTAGTTCTAGAACAGCTAGCCAGCACTAGAAAGAGAGACCTCATCTCAAGATTTAAAAACCAAAACAAACAAATAAATTTAAAAAGCAGGTGGAGCAGGGAGGCCCTCTATGCTTCCTTAGGACAGCTGGCCTCCTTACTCTAACAAAAGAAAACCAAAATGAGCTCAAAGTAAAAGCACCATCTCCTTGAGAACATCCAGAAGGTGGACATTCCCCAAAGAGGTTATAGTTGCTTGTCCCATGTACAAGATACCTCTGTGGAAGAGGGAAGGCCAAGCTCATTCACGGAGAGACTGCTATGCCTTCAGTCTAGAACGACAGTTTCTGCTAGACAACTGGGAGTGCCCAGTTATGGTTACAGTTTCTATATGCTCATCCATATTCTTCCTAAGGAATGCACCAACGAAGACACTTTCTCTATTGTGGCTTCCAGCTGGCTAATTCAATGAGGCCTCAGTTTTAGAGGATGTTTGTAAGGCCCCAAATTTGATATATATATATTTTTTTGGTTTGCCCTCTTAACTAGTCTACTCCAGTTGTCTCTGCTGGCAGTTGAGAGCATCTGACTTGGTAATGGTTTGCTATCTATCTGCTGCTTCTCTCTGCTACTTGCCCTTTATTCTACCTTTGCTTGCTATGCACTTACAAACTCAGTGAAAGTGAAAGCGTGGCTTTCATGGGCCATTTCCTAAGCAAAACAGAACATAGGGGAACACTGCGGAGGTTCTGTGAGAATGCGGCTCTATGAAGCATCCAAGATGCTCTGAGATTTAACCTGAGGCCTGGGAAGGCCCAGCACATGTAAAATTTTATTTAAAATAATCATGAAATTAGAAGGTATGGGGAAAGAGGCAGCAGAGGGTGTCCATAAGGGAAGCAGAGTGCTATAAGGGAAGACTTGTGGGTTCTGTGATCCAGAGAAGTCTGCAAGAAGTCAAAGGCCACAGCACAAGTGGAGAAGGGGCTATAAGGAATAGGCCATTTAGGGAGGTGGCTCTAAGTGGGTCAGAGCCTAGGCAGCCAAGAGTCTGCACTGTTTTCCAGAGTAGCCACTGAGGCCGAGGAATGGCAGAGTCAGATGATCAGTTCTGGAAAACTAGTCTGATGAAATAGCAGAGAGAAAGAAGTGAGAGCAAAGGAAAGCAGCGGAGAAGCTCTTTAAAGAATTCTACAATGATGACAGCCTAAGCCAAAGAGCAGAGAGAAATCAACAAACAAGAGAAAGTGAGGAAACTAGCATCACTATGTGATGGAGGGTAAGGAGATGAAGACATCAATCTTTGTCCTGGGCTGAGAGTGCTGAGAGCAGGCCATTAACTGAGAAAGAAATGGGGGGGGGGGAGGTGACAAGGGGTTGCTGGGTAGGGGAGGGAAGTTTACAAAGGCAGTTTAATTTTGGACATGTTTATTTTGAAGTGCCTGTTTCCCACATCTGGTCCTTCCTCTTCAATCCCCTGTCTCAGCTCTAGAGCTACACATCCTCCTGGGCTGCTGGGAAGGGTCCCGCTTGCCTCCCCACCTCCACCCTCCCCGTGGGACAGCCCACAGTTTGTTTGGCTCCTTTCCTAAGCCAGATCTCATCGGGTCACTTCCTACTTCTCTTTAAGAGACTCTCAGAGTTCCTTCGAGGAAATGCTGAAGGAATAATTTAGGAGGGAATTTCTGTAAATATCTTGAGCAAAATGAAACAATTACAGCTGTGTGCTCCTTCTAATCATAGGTTTGTCTAGACCAGAAGATCCTCAGGATTACTTTAATTGAATAAGTACATAAATAATGTCTAATTTTTGCGTCATAAAAATTACATACACTCCTTTTTCTCACTGGGAAATGTAGAAAATAAGACACCATTCAATGTGTAACTGCTAAAAAAATTACCTGCTAATATTTTCACTTTATCTTTGTGCAAATTTATCTTTACTTACTAGCTACTATTCTATAAATGCAGCTTGTCTCTTTAATAACATTCACACACATTCTTTCATAGGTATTGAGATTATATTTAGTGAGTAAAACTTTTTTAAAAAGCGAAGAAATAGGAGATCTCATGAAACTAGGTCTTTTCATCAATGCCCTGCTGAGCTCGCCATGACATCACACTAGAAGGAGGCAGCCACAGAAGGGCAGGAGTCAAGGCTCGGCTAACTCCAGGGCTGGGCCTAACAGAGGGCATGAAGCTCTCAGGCAGAACTCAGACTAATGGCAGGAAGCCCACACTCCCCCAGCTCAGGGAGCCCAGGGCCACAACTTTATGAACTTTGATATTTTCTGGGGTCACATAAATTTATGAGTCTTACTATTTTAGTTAAACTGTACACTTGGGCAATTAAGGCCTTGGTACAAGAAAGGGATCTAGAACTATCTTCCTGAATATTCTATCTGTATTCTATCACAGAGGAAAAGGAGAAAAAATTAGGAGAAAAGAGCTAAGAAGAGTAGAAATTCATCCAGAAACAGCTTTGGGTCCTGAGACTGAAATGTCAGACTTCACGTCAGTGACAGGGACTTGAAGAGCCTTATGCTCAGCCTCACTGCTATTTGCTCCTATCAGCCTCCTATCTCCAAAACAGCTGACTGCAAGGCCCATCCTGTCTCAACTGCCATTTTCCAGCCAGTCCTCAGCTTTCTGGTGAGATGTCCTCATGTCTCCGCAGCTTAGCCTGACTACTCTGTTTTCTCTCCTTCAATCCTCAGCTCAGAATCACTCCTGTATCTTCCTAAGACATCGCCATGCCCTAGAGGACACCAGTAAACTCAGGTGCTGGCAAGAGGGCATCGCTCTCAGATGTCTATCTCTCATGACTGATGTGTATTCGTCAGGCAATAAGCACTGAAATTGAAGGGGGAAAAAAGGGGAGGAAGTTGGAGCCCTGCACTTT